TTGGCAGGCAGATCTCTGTGAGTTCCAGGACAGCTGGGGCTACAGGGAGACCCTGTCTCAAAAAGACTAAAAATAAAAAAAATCAGATACTCGAAGATTTATATGACTTGTACCTGGGTAGTCTTTCCATTGATCTACATATCTGTTTCTGTGCCAGTACCATACTCCTGTTGGTTTTTTGTTTGTTTTACTATGGCTATGTAGTATAGTTTGAAATCAGGTGTGGTAATATCTGAAGCATTGTTCTTTTTGCTGAGGGTTACTTTGTCTATCTGTGTTTTTTTTTTTTTTTTTTTTTTTATTTTTTCTTTTTTTAAAAGACAGCTTTGCACTGGGGAAATAAAGACAGCTGGCACCTCATAAGCACCAGATCTCAGCTACAGTCTTTCTGAAGGCGCCTGCTTAAAGGCCGGCTTCCTGGAGACCGGGTAATGCTTCCATGTGAATTTTGAGCTTCTAAAAAAAGTTTATTTGTGGGTGGGGGTGTTGGAGGACAACTGATAGAGTAGTTGATTCAGTCCTTCTACCATGTGGGTTCCGGGATTGAAATCAGTTTGTCAGGTTTAGTGACAATTGCCTTTAGCTGCAATTGCCTTTTCTGTTTTCTATGAAAAATTGCACTGGGATTTTGGTTGGGATTGCATTCAGTCTGTAGATTGCTAGCCATTTTGACAATATTGATTCTTTGGATCCATGAGCATGGGCAGTCTTTCTCTAATGTCTTCCTCAATTTCTTTCTTCAGTGTTTTGTGCTTTTATTGTACAAGCCCTTTGGTTTTTTGTTGTTTCTGTGGTGTTTGTTTTCTTAGGCCTGCTTCCCATAACTATTTTTTTCTCTTTAGTGTCTTGAATGTATATTTCCTCTTTAGTTAAAAGTATTTCTTCCAATATTCTCTATAGGGTGGCTTGGTCACAGATTCCCTTAACCTCTTTTTATTATGGAAAGTTTTGCTTTTTCCTTCAATAATGGTGGATAGTTTTGCCAGGTAAAGTAGTCTGGCTTGGCATCTGTGGTCTTTCAGAACTTGAAGTACATTGCACTGTGCTCTTTTTTTTTTTTTTTTTTTTTTTTTTTTTTTTTTTTTGGACACGGTCTCCCTGTCACCCCAGCTGGCCTAGATAGGCTATGTAGACCACACTGGTCTTGATTTCATAAAGATCTGCTTGCTTCTACCTCCCAAGTGCTAGGATTTAAAGGTATACTAAGCACTTTTGACTTTTTAAGTTTCCACTGAGAAGGAAGACCAGCGAGATAGCTGCCACACAGGCTTGACAACCTAAGTTCAATCCTTGAAACCCATATAAAGGTGGAAGGAGAGAGCTGGCATTGCAAGGTTGTCCTCCTCTGGCCTCTACACATGTGTACTTCCATATACACACAATAATAATAATTTTTTTAAAGTTTCCAGTGAGATTTCAGCTATTATTCTTATGAGCCTGCCTTTATATGTAACTTGGCTCCTCTCAGGCAACATTCAATATCCTTTCCTTTTTCTGTATATTTAATGTTTCAATTATAATATGGTGTGAGAAGTTTCTTTTCTGTTCCTGTCTATTGGGTGTTCTGTGTCCTTCTTGTGCCTGAATGGGCATCTTTTTCCCTATGATTTTATTGAAAATATTCTCTATGAGTTTGAACCGGAATTCTTCTGTGCCCAAAATTCAGATTTCATCTTAGATGGTGTCTCAAAGATCCTGCTTATTCTGTTTGTGTGTTTTTGTTTTGGTTTGGTTTTTTGTTTGTTTCTGTCTTTGTGAGACAGGTTTTCCTGTATCCCCAGCTGGCCTAGAATTCACTATGTAGTCCAGGCTGGCCTCAAACTCACAGAGATCTGCCTGCCTCTGCCTGGGATTAAAGGTGTGCCACCACCCTTGACCGTCCTGTTTTGTTTTTTGTTTTCTCTTTAATTTACCCTTTTCTTTAATGGAATGATGCAGCTCCTTTACCTTGTTTTCAAACCCAAATATCCTGTTTCCTACACAGTCCATTCTGTTGGTGAGACTTTCCACTGAACTTTTTATTAGAGTTGCTGAAATTTTTATTTCTGTTAATTTTGGTTTTTTTTTTTCAGTATTTGTCTTTGTTGAATTTACTTCCTTTTCTTTTTTTTAAGAACATCAACATTTAAAAATGTTTATGTATGTGTGCACGTATGCATGTGTGCATGTGCATGCATGTGCCATGGTGCACATGTGTAGGTCAGAGGACAACTTGGGGGAGTTGGTTCTCTCCACCATGTGGGGTTCAGGCATTGGACTCAGACTTGGCAGTAAGTATGCCTTTACCCACAAAGCTGTCTTGCTAGCCCAATATCAGGTTTTCGAGCACTTGAAACATAGCTAATGCAGCTGAGAAACCAAAAATCTTACTTTAATTAGCCCACATTTAAATAATAAATAATCACATTTGGCTAGTAGATACTTTATTTTATTTTTTGGTCTTTTTGAGATAGGGTCTCCCCATAGGCCCAGCTGTCCTGAAACTCACTGTGTAGACCAGGCTGGCCTTGAACTCACAGAGATCCACCTGCCTCTGCCTCCTAAGTACTGGGACCAAAGGCATGTGCCACCACTTTATTTGACAGATTATCATTGCAGAAAGTTTTCTTGCTGCTTGATGGGTTCTCTCAAACTCTTCTGTCATTTCTGTTTGGATTTTAGCTAACTGACAGAGTGAGACTGGAGCTTTTTCTGAAGTGAAAAATGTCATGGATGGTCGGAAGCTTGGGGCCAGTGAGCTAGCTTAGTAAGGTGCTTGCCACACAGACGTCAGGACCTGAATTCAATCCTCAAAGCCAGGCATAGAGGGTTGAGAGATGGCTCAGTGGTTAAGAGCATTGACTGCTCTTGCAGAGGACTGGGGTTGAATTCCCAGCATCTGCGTGGCAATTAACAGCTGTCTGTAACTCCAGTTCCAGGGGATCTCTTGCCTCTTCTGACCTCTGCATTGCACGACACAGGTGCACTTACATATATGCAAGCAATATACTCATACACATAAAATAAAGATAATATTTTTTAAAAACCAGGCATAATTATGTATGCTTATGAACCTAGCACTGTAGAGGCAGAAGCAGGCAGATCTCTGGGCCTTTTTACCCAGTCAGTCTAACCTACTGGGCGAGTTTCAGGTCAGTGAGAGACCCTGTCTGAAAAAACAAGATCAGAGGGCTGGAGAGATGGCTCAGCGGTTAAGAGCACACTGCCTGCTCTTGCAGAGGACCTGGGTTTGATTCCCAGCACCCACATGGCAGCTTTGAACCGTCCTTAACTCCTGTTCCAGGGGAATCCGAAGCCCTCTTCTGACATCCAGAGCATTGCACAACACAGGTGCACTCATAAAATAAATAAAATAAAATAAAAATTAAAAAAAAACAAACAAGATCAATGGAAGGACATTCAGGGTTGACCTCTGGCCTCCACATATACATGCATATATTTATGCATGTACATATATATACACACACACACACACGCAGACAAAGTTACTTTCCCTTTACTTGTGAAATCACCTCTGGTTTATGATTGATTTTGGGTTTTTTTCCAGTACCTTTCAGTCACTGTTTTGTGTTATTTTCTAATTGAAAAATACTTAATTGCATTTAGTAGTAGTAGTAGTAGTAGTCGTCATAGTAGTAAGTACTAATAGCAGGGGTGTGTGTGTGTGTATGTGTACACATGTATGTCACAGCACATGTCCTCTCTTTTTACCATGTGGGTCCTGAGGATTGAACTCAAGTTGTCAGGCTTGACTAGAAGCACCTTTACCCAGTGAACAGCCCCTGTTAAAATCCCTTTTAGTTATTTCAGTAGTGAACTAATTTTAAAAACCTTTTTTTTTTTTTTTTTGGCCATTATATAGGATTTTCTTACCAACTAGTAATTTATTAGTTTCTTTGAGGACTGCAGACATAGCTCAGAAAGTGGAGTGCTTACCTAGCACACACGAAACCCTGGATTCTATCTCCAGCACCAAAAACAAAAACAAAAACTAGTTATTATGGTGGTGTGTACTTGTAGTTCCAGAACTTGCGAAGTAGAGGCAAGGAGATCAGGAGTTCAAAATCATCCTCGGCTATATAGAGTTCATAGCCAGCCTGGGCTACATGAGACCCTGTGTCAAACAAAGGAAAAGAAATAAATGCTCTGCAATATTTAGGTAGTGCTGGTGTTGATACAACCAGTTTGAGCTCCTATTCTTTTTGAAAAATGCTTGCCTAACATGATACACTCCTAGCTCAAAGAATGAAGAAGCAGGAGGATTGCAAGTTTGAGACCAGTTTGGGCTACATAGTGAGAGCCTCAAAAATAACCAAAAACAAGAACCCCAGGAGTCAGAGAGCTGGATCAATGGTTAAGATTGCTTGCTACATAATCATGAACACCAGAGTTTGGATCCCAGTACCCATGCAACAGGCCAGGTACCCATACAACTCCAGTTTTGAGAAATTCGACACCCTTTTCTGGCTTCTACACATGTACAGATTCCCACATCCCACAAGAAAGTACACTTACTCAGACGTATAACACACATACATAAATAAATTTTTTTTAGAATAGAGAGGGCAGGAGAGATGACTCAGTGGTTAAGAGCACTAGCTGCTCTTGCAGAGGACCTGGTGGCTAACAGCTGTCCTTAACTCCAGCTACAGGAAATCTGACACCTTCTTCTGTGTTCTGTGGCCATTGTACAACATGAATGCACTTAACATACATGAAGGCAATGCACTCATACACATAAAATAAAAATAATAAAAATTTTTTTAAAAATAAGAAAAGCTCATGAACTAATTGTAAAAAACACTTGAAAGACTTTTATTTTTGTTTCAATAGAATTTTTATTTTAAACTTAGCCTCTTTAACTTTACTAAAAGTATCACTAACCTTTAAAATTACTAAGTTTCATAGTCCCATCTTTGGAATGTTAGAATTTAATGGAATTCTTCAAAGCAGAAAACTCATATCATTGATAACTGTTTGGTATACTTTGCCTTTTCAAGGTACCTAAAAAGGTTTAAAGTGATGAAGATCAAAGTTCTAAGAAGCTGGTGTAGGCAGATCCTTAAAGGACTTCAGTTTCTTCACACTCGAACTCCACCAATTATTCACCGGGATCTTAAATGTGACAACATCTTTATCACTGGTCCTACAGGCTCAGTCAAGATTGGAGACCTTGGTCTGGCAACTTTGAAACGGGCTTCTTTTGCCAAGAGTGTAATAGGTATGTTTCTAGTGTACTTTGGAGCCAAGCTGGCCTTTTGACATTGTTTTTCTTCAGAAACCTGACCTTATCTTTTCTGACATGAAATAAACTTTCAGAAATCCATAGCTTGAACCCAGGTGATTAATTCTACTTAGATGTGAAATGTGGGGCTGTAAATATTTAAGTTTCTAAAATCATTTTGAAGATTTATTGATGTTTTATAAAGTTACATGGAGTGGAGCAAGGTGAACTTTATTGATAAAACTTCATGTTACAGTCTTAGTCTTCCTGTTAATATGTTACGTCTTATACAGTAGAGGCAGTGTGTTGCTTTCTTTATTAAAAACAGTGAAATTTATGTGTAATTTAGCTTTAAAAATGTTCATTGAGGGACTGGAGAAATGGCTCAGCAGTTAACTACACTGGCTGCTCTTGCAGAGTACCTGGGTTCAATTCCCAGCACCTACATGGTAACTAACAATCATCCGTTACTTCAGTTCCAGGGGATCCGACGCCCTCTTCCTGATCTCCATTGAGCATTGCACAACACTCATGTACTTATAGGCAGGCAAAACACTCATACACATCAAATGAAAGCAAATTAAAAAATTTAAATCTTTCATTGGATATATCTTTAAGAACACCTAGCTGTAAAAACTTGATTTGAAACTATGAATATATGTGAATGTATTATAAAAAGTTGGTTTCAACTTTTTTCTTTCTCCTACCTTTTAGAAGTAATATATATCTAAAGCAGGTTTCTCAACCTTAGTGATCTGAATATTTGGGTCTAGTTGTTTCCTTATATAGGGTTTTTCTTTGTTAATTAAATTATTGTATGCAAACTTGTTCTTGGAATTGAAGCCAAAGACTCTGGAGTCACTGTAAAACCTAATCTTACAGGAACATGCACATACACTCTGTGCTTATAAATCAGTCTGTATTTGAGTTCTGTGTTTGTGTGTGTATGTGTATTTGTTTTTTGCCTGTAGGATGTCTCTCACTATATTTCCTGTATCTGCAGTAGGCTTATTTGTATTCTGTAGGTCGGATGGTGAGTATGTGAAGAAAAGGCTCTGGTGAGTGGCCTTTATAGACAATTACATTTTATTATCTTTAAAACATTGAATGTAGAGATTTTTCACTGCAAGGCCTCCTTACAGAGTGAAACTCATCAGATGAAGTATTAATTGTAGGAGACTAGTTATAAATGTTCACCTTACAACTACTGTACAGTAGAGGGCAGACAAGGATTCTTTTTTGATAGTTAAACATCTTATAGGTAGATGCCATTATATCCATTTTGTTCCCTGCCAGATTTATGGTTGTTGTTTTTTTTTTACCCTTTTATTCTATTTTCAGTATGAATAATATTAGTTTATCTCTTAGCCAATGCTCTACTTTCATAAGAGAAACTCAATTTAAACAGTAAATAATCATACACTTGACTATGTTCAGTGTATTTCAAAGGCCTTACAGTGGAAGATCTTCTATGGGATATTTGATGAACAGACTAAGAAGATTTCCTTCCTCTTTCCCCCCTTTCTTTTTTTTTTTTTTTTTTTTTTTAATGTAAGTACTTAAAGCTATTAAATTCCCTCTTAAGACTGCTTTTTTATTTTTATTTTTTTGTAAAACTTTTATTGAATTTTTGTGTATTTCATACAGAACATCTAATCAGTCTTAATCATCTTTATACTGTCTTCCCCACTGGCACCCTCCCATAGTCACCCACCCCACTCAAATTCATATATTCTGTCATTCATGTCAAAGCCTATCATGTCAAGTTAGTGTCTCGAGCTGTCTCTCAGTGCAAGTTTATCCACTGGGGTCGAAGCAACTGATCTAGAGTCCCTCCCTTTATTTTTTATGGGATATTTTATGAAAAGACAAAAAAAATTTCCTTCCTCTTTCCCCCCTTTTTTTTTTTTTTTTTTCTCCTGCCCCCCCCTTCCATTTTTTTTTCTCTCTGACAGGTCATCCCCTTTGCTTCTCGAACCCTCTGGTGGGTAACGTCTGCAGCTTCTGCTCGCATTGAGTCTGAATCGTTCTTTTAATTTAAGGTACCCCAGAGTTCATGGCCCCTGAGATGTATGAGGAGAAATATGATGAATCCGTTGATGTTTATGCTTTTGGGATGTGCATGCTTGAGATGGCTACATCTGAATATCCATACTCAGAGTGCCAAAATGCTGCGCAGATCTACCGACGAGTGACCAGTGTAAGTCTTCACCATATTGTTGAAATTGAGACACATCTAACAAGGAAACTCAAGCTGGATAACTTTGTAATTGTGCAAAAGGGAACAATAGTAAAAAGCCTATAAACTATTAGGAAGGAGCTTGCTGAGTTATAAGCACAGTATAGTAAGAATGAAGATAAAAAGCTATCAGTTTATCTTGGGACCCTCCTTGCATTACCTTTATTATTATGAGGTATATTTTGTTTGAAACCACATTCTTATACCTCCTACTAATTTATTTGAGTTTTCTTTTCAATCTATATTTTGCTATCTGAATCACAAGTACTCTTTTTATTTTAAGATGTCAAATTAATTTGTTCTCAGGCTTTAATTTGAATGGCATAGTTTGGTGTGCTAGTTTATGAATTTCCATAATAGTTAAGGTATAAGTTAACATCATACTATAGTTTGTTACCCATAGTAGTTCATGATTGCTGACTGAGATTACTTTCTTTAATCCCAGCACTTGGGAGGTAGAGGCAGAAAGTACATCTCTGAGCTCAAAGCCAGTCAGTGATACACGGGGACCCTGTACTTGGGAGGCAGAGGCAGGCCAGATCTCTGAGTTCAAGGGTAGCCTCATTTACATAGTGAGTTCTAGATTAGCCAAGGCTACATAGTGAAACCCTGTCTCAAAAACAAAAGTTGTATATTATTAACGTAGTGGGTTTATTATTTTCAATGAATTAATACTTTTATGCTTTCTTGGTATTGATTTCTAACATAGTAAATACCAGATATTTGTAACATAAACCAGACTTCTGGGGTCTCATGATTTTAAGAATATAAAATGGTTCTAAGGCATAAGTGTACAAACCACAGGTCACAAACTTGACAAAATTTAAGCTAATTTATGGGGGGAGCAAGGAATATGTAGCACTGTATATTTTATATTACATTGAGAAGCACATATTAGTTCATTTTATTTTGCATCTTCGAAGATGCAATTTAGCTGAATGTGGTGATATGCTGCACTCAGGAGGCAGAGGCATTCCTATCTCTGTGAGATCAAGGCCACCCTGGATGATATAGTGAGTTCCAGGCCAGCAGGGGCTACAGGGAGACCCTGTCTCAAAAAGGGAGTGATTGCCCAGCAGTGAGGAACACTGGCTGCTTTTGTCGAAGACTGGAGTTTGGTTCCCAATACCCACATGGCAGGTAAAATTTGTAACTCTAGTTCTAAGGGATCTTATGTTGTTTTCTGGTTTGGGGAAGGCATTATACAAAAATGGAGGCACTTACGTACATGTATAAAAACACCCACAAACATATCTGTCTAAATAAATAAATAAATAAATAAATAAATAAATAGGGAGGGGGGAGGGAAGGAGGGAGGGAGGGAAAGGAAAGGAAGGAAGGAAGGACTGACTAGATTTTAATAACTGGTCTAAGTGGAAATTTGATGTTTTAAATAAATGTTGGGAAGTGTAATTAAAGATGAATGACTACATACCCTCTTCCTGCAAGAACTAATCAGACCATAACTTTGAGCATGAAATAGATAGCATTTTAATGGAGACAATCTCTAGGAGCAGTAGAAACAGAATGGTTACTCTACTATGGGTTTACAAAAGGCACAGTCATATGAATTACAAAAAATGGAGAAAGAAGAATGGGAAGCCATTCTAAAATAGAACACTGAGGCTTCGACCACTATAATACAACTGAAACAATGATAAGTTGATCAGATAAGTTGAAGCCATTATCTTGTGGTTCAAGGGGAGAGAGAAGAATCAATTGCTTAGTTGTTTCCCCTACTCTCAAATTCTGTCTCATCTCAGAGCAAAAGTGTTTGCCAGTAATTAAGAAGTGAACTTGTAACCACCAATACATGTTTTTGTATTGTGTTATATTGTTTTAAAGGTGACCTCATTGTAGACTTTTGGAAGCAGCTAAAAGAGAGGTTGAAATTACAGTAGTAGGAGGATGAGGTAGATAATTGACAGAGAAGTATCCAGGATTCAGTAGGATCTGGATCATGATCTAATGAGCATAAAGAAGGAAAGTTGTTTGTTTTTATTTTTTTTCCTCCAAGACAAGGTCAGGAAAAAAAAACCAGGTTCACTTTCTTGCTCTAGTTATTGTATTCTTAAACAAGTCATCTATTTTTTTTCCTGTATTTTATTTTGTTCTCTATAAAAGATATGCCCTTACTCTTTTACAGATTATTTACTTTGTTCTAGTACTAGCAGTAGGTCCTGGTTATTTTCTATGAAACCTGAGTAATCTCCTGAGGGGTGTAAATAGAAAGATGGCTTTTAAAGGATGATAAAGGCTTGAAATAATATCTATGGAATTTTGTACTTCTTGGGAAGTAATATTCATTGGGAAGAAGCACCAAGCTTCCAGAATTCCTGTTTAACAGTGAGTCCATTGTTCATAATTGTATTTATGTGTAGGTAAATAGAACATATTCTTGTGACTTAATTTTTTTGTTTTCTTTATTGTTTTTATTTTTTTTTGTGTGTGCGTGTATTGCCTGCATATATGTAAGTGCACTCGTGTCATGCAGTGCCTGTGGTGGTCAGAAGAGTGCTTCAGATTTCCTGGAATTGGAGTTATAGATGGTTGTTAGCCGCCATATGGGTGCTGGTACTTGAAACCAGGTCCTCCACAAGAGCAGCCAGTACTCCTAACAGCTGAGCCATCTCTCCAGCCCCATGACTTAATTTCTTTAAAAACTGTAATAACTTAGATTGTTTATTAACTCAGCTTTCTATATTATCAAGTCTGTATACTAAAAGAATAGAATATGGTTATTTATGCAAATGAGTTAAAACATATTTTATGTGTTTATGTGTACCACGTGTACAGGATCCTCAGAGCAGAAGAGGGCATCTGATCCCCTGGAACTGAAGTTACAGATAGTTGTAAGCCGCTAGGCGTGTACCACCACGCCTGGCTTCTAAGACTTCTTAGGAAAGTTTATTTAGTATCCTTTCCACTTGACAGATTTCATCTATTCATAAGTATGTATGAATTATCAACTCTGATGAACCAATATATTATGATCTTAAGGATATACCAAGTAAAAAGGTCGAGATTTAATGGATTTTTTTTTTTTTTTTTTTTTTTTTTTTTTTTTTTTGTCTTTTTGTGACAGGGTCTCCTTTGTAATCTTAGCTGACCTGGATTTTGCTATGTAGACCAGGCTGGTCTCCATCTCACAGAGATCTACTTGCCTCTGCCTGAGACTTAATGGATCTTATATTCACATGTGTGAAAAATGATGATTGTTAAAATAGTTAAAAGGCTCATTTTTAGAGTACATTAAGCAGCTGAATAGAATGACCCAGTCATTTAATCTTTTGTTTTGCTTTGTTTGAGATGGTCTCCATGTGGTACCAGCTAGCCTGGAACTCTGCCTCCAGAGTGCTGGGATTTAAGGTGTGTGCCACCATGCCTGGCTTATTTAATTACTCTTGTTGCCAAAAATGTATGACTATATGCCAGAGCAATGTGATTTTTTTTTTTTAATTTGGAAAAAATAACCAAATAATAAGAGAAAAATGAGGGATTGGAGAGATGGCTCAGTGGTTAAGAGCAGTGACTGCTCTTGCAGAGGACTGCTCTTTCAGAGGACCCAGGTTCAATCCATAGCACCCACTTGGTGACTAACAACTCCAGTTCCAGGGGATCCAATGCCCTCTTCTGACCTTGGCAGGCATTGCATGGCAGAGATGCACTTACATACATGGAGGCAATATACTCATACACATAAAATAAAAATAATAAAGCCAGGTATGGTGGTGGCACACACTTTTAGTCCAGCACTGGCCTGGAACTCACTGTAGGTCATACTGGCCCCCATCTTTCAGAGATCTGGCTGCTTCTGACTCGTGAGTGCTGGGACTAAAGGCATATCCCACCCTACCCAGACAAATATTGTTTTGTCAGTCCATCCCACCTCTCCCCTGTAAGATTGTTTTTTGAGATAGGGTCTCTTCACTGGCTTAGAGCTTGCCAAGAGGGTAAACTAGCTGATCAGCAAACACCAAGGATCTACCTGTCTTCTTCAGCTCTGGAAGAAGGGTGGGCCACTATACCCAACTTTTATTGTCTTCTTGATTGATTGTTCCCTTCATTAATTTGTTTTTGTTTTTGTTTTGTTTTTTTGGTCTTTTTGAGACAGGATCTCCCTGTAGCCCCAGCTGTCCTGAAACTCACGAAGACCAGGCTGGCCTTGAACTCACAGAGATACACCTGCCTCTGCCTCCCAAGTGCTGGGGTTAAAGGCCTTCGTTAATTTGTAATGTTCTTTATCCTTTTCTAATTTTGACTTAAAGTCTCTTGTCAGGAGTATAGCACCTCCTGTTTGCTCTCATACTCTGTTTCCTTGGGAATATCATTTTCCATCATTTTACTTTTAGAATTGCCAGTTTCATAGATTTTTGCAGACAGAAAACAATTGTGTCATGTATTTAAATCTATTTTTAATCCATTCTGAAAGTTAAGACCATTTCCTTTTAGGGTTATTAAAGGTGTGTTCTAATTTCTCCACGCAACTTAGACGATGCTGATGCTGATGCTGAATATCTTCTAGAGTACTTCCTTAGTGGTCATGCTTATCATAGAAAGTCATTATTTATCCTTCATTAAAAATTTAGTGTGTGTGTGTAGCCGGGTGTGGTGGTGCACACCTTTAGTCCCAGCACTTGGGAGGCAAAGACAGGTGGATCATTGTGAGTTCAAGGCCAGCCTGGTCTACATAGTGAGATCAGGTCAGCTGGGACTTCAGGGAGACCCTGTCTCAAAAAGACAAAAAAAAAAAAAAATTTTAATGTGTGAGTATTTTTCCTACACACATGTAAGGGCATCCGTATCATGTGGTGCCAGCGGAGACCAGAAGAGGGTATCAGATCCCCTTGAACTGGAGTTAAAAGAGGTTGTTATCTGCCATATAGGTGCTGGGAACCAAACTTGGGTCCTCTGTAAGAGCAGACAGTGCCCTTAACCACTGAGCCATCTCTCCAGGTGCC